GAATAAAAAGAAGTGACCATATCCAAGACATCTCTATCTTCTAGATTTTGAAGAAAAACAAAGTCCCAAATGTTAAGATTATTTTTGTACTTATATTTATTTATCACTAGGGTATTCTAGTCTTTCTTATTCTAGGGTTTTATATCTTGTCTCTTGTACCTAGTTTGTATTATTGAATATTTGATAATTGCGACAAGATTTCTTATCATTTCCTTTTCTACATAATGTTATTATCCAAGAGGGCCGCCTTGTGCTTCCGCCCACCTGATGGTCTTTGAGCCAAAGTCTTTTGCGACACTTTAGGTTTACTTACCGTATGAATGTATTATCTTTTTTCCTTATTCTTAGCTTGATTCTCATTTCAAGAACGGAGGCTGAAGCTTCCGGTGTTCATAAGGCTAACACAGAATACTATATTAATATATCGTAAGACTTGCTAATAGGATGTAAAGGCCCACCTTGCCCCACGAAGTAGGCTGGAATCGGTACCCTATGAGGCTGGTGAAGTTGGCACAAGAAAAAGGAGGATCCAGAGCCGTAGGATAGCGTCCATGTGAGGCTTCCTTGTTGGATGCATAAATTGACTGAGGATGTGACGAGTATGAAGAATGTTAGAACTTCTTATGGTGAGATAGATCAACCTGCCAATGTTGCGTCGATAACTATAAGGATCTGAAAAGTTCACCATCATAGTTCTTGACTTTGATATTTTCTTCCATGGAAAAAAGAGCGGACGGGCTAAAAAATCCACTAAAACGAAAATCCAACTACCACTAAAACAAAGCAATATGACAATCTATCCACTATTATAGTTATGATTGATACAATTTTTATCTAATTTGAACAAATGGTACAAAATTCATTCCAATTTTTTTTTTCGCTCAAAAACATCATATTTGCACGGGTTCCAATGTTAGATAACTCAACTAGCACACTCCCCAATGCCAGACAGTTCCACTAATCCACCCTCAACCCCACCTCTTTCTTCTTTCTGTCCTATCTCTCTCTTATTTTGTCTTTGTTTGGTTTAATTTTAAATCATTTAATTAAAAGAAGAAAAAAATAAATTATTATTTAAAATATAAATGTTATTAATTCTTGATTTTTGATACTGTAAAGTGTCTTTAGGCACAGTGTTATTGCTAGTTTATGCCACTGGGCCTTAATCGTGGAAATTTTTGCATGGACTTAACGCACCACCTGACAGTATTAGGTGATTTATATAACCAATTAGAGATTGTACATTTCTAATAAAAAATGTCACCCATCACTTCGTTGGATTTTTAAAAAAAAAAAGTAATTTGTATGTTTGACTTGATAATTTTTTATTGATTGTACCAAGTGGTGTGTTAAACCCATACCAAATTTTCTAATTCACTGTTATTCATAAATATAGTCGTATAACTAGAGGGGAGCGAGAGAGACCACCCTTTCAGCTTATTGCCTTATTTTGGTGCCCAATTTATTTTTGTGTATAGATTAATTTATACTACTTGTTTATATGCTACACTAAGCGTTAAGCTTGCACATAAATGACTAGTTATTACTAGTGCTTGAAGGCACTATGTAACAAAAAGCTCATAATTTCAATAGTCAGAACAAATGAAAATCTATCGGAGAAACGATAATAGCAAAAAAATATATTTTTTTCAATAAGTGTCATAGGCCAAGAACAAAGCTTAGCTAATCTCTACAATCAATGATCCACTCTAAAAAAGTATAATTTTATCTAGCTATTAATCATTGACCACAAAAAAACAAAAACAAAATGAACCCTAGCTAATCGCCATTGTCACACTCATAAAAAAATAAAGCCAAAGCACATCTGATTACAATTACTACAGTAAAAAAAGAAAAAAAAAACACAAGCGATAATAATTTTCATTGCAAAAAAAATCAAAGTCAAGTTAATCACAATCACCATTACCACGCAAATAAAAAAGGTGACCAAACTTAGTCGTTTCGGTTTCCATCAGGGTGTCGAAATGGATGCCTTACATCATTTAAAAGACTCTATAGGGTGCCTTGTTTGAACTGAGTTAGAGAAAAGCTATGGAAGTTGAAATGGATGCCTTACATTAGAATGGAATTTGGGATCTTATTCTCTTACCACTTGGAAAATGGACGGTGTTAAGTTTAACCTAGATGGTTCTGTTGAGCGTCTCAAAGCTCGTCTTGTTGCTAAGGGTTTCACTCAAACATATGGTGTTGATTATGCAGAGACGTTTTCTCCTGTTGTCAAGATCTCCTCTGTGTGTTTTAATTTCTTTGGCTGCTAACCATAGTTATTAGTATCGTACGATATACGATATGTATTGTACGATACGTCACGATACACTTGAAAAACGATACGTATCATGTTTCTGTATCGTTTTTGCACCGTATTGTACGATACACGATACAATACGTTCGATATGTGACGATTCTATTTTTTTTATTTCTTATTTTTTTAATTTTTTGGGGTTGAAATGACGTTTTATCCTGAGATTTATTTTTAAATCATTAGCCAGTGAAACAATGTCATTTTAGTGGTTGTGGTTTAAAAAAATAAAATAAAGTATGTTGTTAATATTATTCAATTGAGTTCAAAATTCTTAATTAATAATAAAGTTGTTCAAGCAGTTGATGTTAGAAGTTTGAATTAGAGGTCTTTGCATTTTGATATTACTGAACTATGTTGGGAACTTGAATAGTTTGTGGAATCTTAATAAAATGCTATATTATTACGAGTCTTTGTTTTGTTTTACAAAGGTATATATATATTTTATTATTAATTATTTAAAAATTAAATTACTCATATCATACACGATACGATACACTATTTTTTAAAAATGATACTCCTTCCGATACGCGATTTGACAACTATACTGCTAACCTTGATTGGTCCCTGTTTTAGTTAGATGTCAAGAATGCATTTTTGCATGATGACTTGACTAAGTCTACATGGAGGAGCCACCTGAGTTTATTGCTCAGGGGGAGTATCGTAGGAGTGTATATTGACTAAAGAAATCTCTATATGATTTGAAGTAGTCAACAAGAGCATGATTTGATAAATTTTCAGATGTAGTATTAGAGTTTGGTCTTATTTGATGTTAGATAGATCATTTTATTTTCACAGACAGATGCAGGGTACACTTTATTGATAGTTTATGTTGATATTGTAATAACTGGTAATGATTTTGAGGGTATTACTCAGTTAAAAATATTTATGTAAGACAAATTTTATATGAAGGATCTGGGATAACTTAGGTATTTTTTGGGTATTGAAATTGTCACATATAAGCAGGGTATTTGTCTATTTTAAAGAAAATATGTACTTGACATGCTAGAAGAGGCAGATTTACTAGTTAGTAGACTAGTTGATATTCCTATGGATTCAAATTAGAAGTTGTTGATAGATGATGGTGCTCTATTTGATAACTCAGGTCGGTATCGCAGGTTGATTGAGAAACTTAATTATCTTACTTTTACCTGACCAGATATTGCAAATACAGTCAGTACGGTAGGTCAATTTATGGAATTTCCTAGAGTTATTTATATTCTTCGATATTTCAAAATTCCTCCTGGTCTTGGATTGTTATGTTGAACTAATGGACATCTTCGAGTGGAAGATTTTTCGGATACTGATTGGGCTGGTTTTCCATCTAATCGGTGATCAACTGTTGGATATTGCACCTTCTTGGGAGGCAATGTTGTTTCATGGAAAAGTAAAAAACAAACAGTGGTAGGACGATCTAGTGTTAAGGCTAAGTATAGAGCAATGACACATACGACTAGTGAGCTGACATGGTTATTATATTTTATGTGGGAAATTGGTTTCCCAGTTCAACTACCGTTATAACTGTTTAGTGATAATCAGACAGTCATTTATATTGTTGTCAATCCAGTGTTTCATGAGAGGACTAAACATATTGAAGTTGACTGCCATTTTATTATAGACAAGATACTAAGTGGAGACATTGCAACTCCGTTTGTGAGATCTGATGCTCAACTTGTAGGCATGTTCACCAAAATATTGAGTCGTACTCGTTTTGTAGATATTTGTTCCAAACTTGGATTAACATGATATCTATACTCCAGCTTTAGGGGGAGTGTTGAAAAAGTTACTATAATATAATTAGGATTTACGGTTATTGTAATATGTATACCACACAGGGTATACTCGTCTTTTATTTCTTTGTTTAGTAACTATAAATACAAGATTAATAGTGAGAGGTAGGGTAAGCCAAAACCTCTCTTTGTCTCTCTCATATTGTGTTAAGCTTCTCTCCAAACTTAACAATCCGTAACATAGTTAAGATTTTGAGAAAATTTCATTAAACCCATAAGATAAAAATTTTCATGGGCTTTGTAAACTTTCCCTTTCAATACAGTTAGTGTCTTATTCATTGGCTTGTAATCTATATCTACAGTTGATAACTAAATGTTATAGAGAATTTTGTTCCAAGAGAAACCTTCAAAGCGACTTACCTTCTAGAGCAATATTTATTACCTTCAAATTTCCAATTGAAAGATCACATTTGTCTCTAATTCTAAAAACCACCCCCTAACCAAGTAAGTGATTCTTCCTCCCCACATCTCATCCTGCCCACAATATTTTCAAGTTTCATTGCAATCTTCCATTACATCTTACATAACAACAAAAGGTATGTGGGAATACTAGCTAAGATTTACTGCACCAATGTTAACCTACTCATTTTGGGTGTGAAGTCTCTCTTCTGACCATCAAGTCTTTTACCCACTCTTTCATCTGTTGTATCCCAAAAAGATGAAAGACAATTGATTCTCACCCAAAGGCAACCCTAGGTACTTCAAGGGCCACTCCTCTGCTTTACATCCCCAAAAAAGTCTCACCACTCTATTGTTCTTATTATGTTCAAAAGCAGCCAAAGTTCTCGTTGGTTAAATAATGTTCTTTTGCTATACATGGATGAACGAGTGGGTGAATTTTTTATGTGCTTACATGTATCTGTTCATTCATTTGATTTTCATCCCAGGTCATGGATTTCACAGATCATGTTTGGACGGAGTGCTTCTCCACTTTCTTGGGAAGGTAAAGTGTTTTCACCAGTCTCTCATATATTACATTATGCACAATTCTTCAGGAACTCTATTGATGTTGCCGAACTTTGCAGGTGGATGCATCTTGATCCATGTGACGGCATATATGACAGACCGCTATTATATGAGACAGGGTACTTCCTCTTTCACATTGACAATTGTTTCTTGAATTATCCCCGTGACCCTGATCTATAAAGCATGAATACTTCTATTGTGAGCACATTTGTATGGGATAAGGATACTCCTTCAACACTCTAAACAGTATTTCTTGGATACTTTGATATATGTGTCAACATATCTTGAACATAGAAGGCAACCTTTGTATCTTAGTGGAGAAGAATAATTAGACAATAAAATTAAATTGCAAAAACTTTGGTACCAAGTCCATGTGTACACGACATAAACCTTGGGCATCTTGTGTTTTTTTAGTTTTATAAATATAAAATATCTGATGGATTCTTGAAAGCGATTGTCAAAATGTGAGTATGAGAATTGCACACACATATATTGGCATATGCAATCTTTTTGTGTGCCTATATTGTTGGGTATCTGTTTCCCATTCTATGTCCTTGCTTCATAGATCTCAATATTTGAGTGTGGGGAATTATTTGTGCACTACTTGATTATTTTTGCTCTTCTTCTGAAGCTGGAAAAAAGATTTGAATTATATTATTGCTATTGCAAAAGATGGAGTCTATGATGTCACTAAACGTTACACGAGGAATTGGTGTGAGGTAATCATATGAATCTTTTTAAGTGAACTACTTTTCATTTCCTCGTGTTCACAAGAGCATATGTACAAATTGCTATCTTGAGTTTTGACTAGGCAGGTGCATTTTCCTATTGAAGGTGCTGTCACGAAGAAACATTACTCCAGAGCCTGCTCTTTCTACTCTTCTATCCTCTATAACTAGAGATTGTCGAAAAAATCTTGCATCTGAAGTGGTTTCTGCGCTTGAAGAACGTGATAGGAATGAAGCAGAAGCAGTTGAGAGAGACTTGTATTCTAAAGATGATGCTTCAATCTCACTACCAGGGAGACAAAGTGGGGACAAGCAATGGTGCATATCAAGATCAGAATATGGTTCTGACAAGAATCGTTCATGGTCTTCGTCTGGTCCAATGCGTAAATGCATAGATGGGCATGTGACAAAGATCTACAATGCATTTGGTCCTGTCGTTTCCCAGTTAGTGAAGCAATCTTCTTCCAAATCTAGAGCTGTTGAAGTCCTTGAGATATTCAAAAATATTTTAGTGGATCTCAAGAAATCGCCCTTTAGAACCAGGAGAGTTTCTATAAAATCTCTTTCCAATGGTGCACAGTATGTTGTCAATCAGATGCTGCCTTCTTTTGGTCAATTGCTTGATGCTCTTTCACTGAAGATGGAATCGGATACAAATGGAAGGATTGACATTTGCTTGGCTTCTGATCCTGTTAAAACTTCCATAGCATTGCCTGTTTTGTTCCATGCTCTGGACAATGTGATCCATAATGTTAACCAATGTGACAACTTTAATAAACACTCTCTCTCTTGGCCACTTTTGAAGTTAAATAGATTTTGTTCTGGTTTAGTCCTTGCTAGTGGGGAGGAGCTTCCTTTTGGAATTGTAAGTAGCATTGCCTCGTATAATTTATCATTTATAGTACCGGTGAATTATTTCGGGTGCGTGCACACAGGTTTCTTTATATTCCATCATTGAAAAGTCCATTGTTTCATATGACTTCAGGCCACATCTGCATTTGATGGGACTCGAATGTCAAAGTGGGAAGAACCAAATGGTGCCAGAGGTACCCCGAACTGAATAACCTGTCATATGATTATATCTGCTGTGTACCATAATTATACCATGTAGCAGATACAGAAGAATGAAAATGAAAAATGGCTTTTTTAAGGAAAAATTTGTGTGATAATATTCTGGGACAGTTTGTTCCGCATCTCGTCAGTGTACTACAAATAGGTACTCTCCTAATCTCCGGCAACAAGCGTAACGCAAAGGGCACATTCTGATGGCGTAACTCGGTATTAATTTCTGAAATGCTTCAGCACCATGGGATCTGATTGCTCATCCTATTTCGGTTCTCAATTCTAGTTCATTTGAATATCGGCATCTTACAGTCACTCCCTTCCCTGAAGTTTCAAAAAGCAGATGTTATGTGTAAATGAAGGAAAATACTGACAATGTTTGCTTAGCTTGTATGAGGAACGGAGAGTAGAATGTTCATTAATTGCTCTTTTTCTTGGGGTTTGTGGAGTAAGTTGTTTACTGTGATTGGAAAAGCTTAGTTGTCCTTCTATGGTGGAGAAGTTATTGCAGTAAAGTTCTGATGCTAAGGTTCTTTAGAATTGTCTGTCGATAGTGATTCTTTAGTGTATTTGGTTAGAGAGGAGCACGACAATCTTCCATGATCACGCTGTTCCATGACTTGGATTGCGAATGAATCGTGTTCTTCAATTTTTTATGGACCATATCCGCAGAAAGTTTTAAAGGGGTGCCTTTCCCGGACTTTTATTGGAATTGGAAGACTGGTCTATTTTGGTTCAACTTTCCTTATTTTGTCTCTCTTTTTTGGATATCTTGTCATCCATGTCATACTTCTTTTATATATTTACATTGTGTCTGATCCATTAAGTTGACAACATTTAATGCTTCCATGTAGCAACAGTTTACGTCGAGTCTAATTCTTCCCAGCATTTTTTGGAAGGAAGATTGTCTTCAAACTTTTTACTCAACATGGGGAGGCAGTTGTGAAAATTGTTCTTGATTTCTTCATACCGAGGGTATTTATGGAACGTTCATAATTTGGAAATTGTTGAATCTTGCCAGTTGTTTGCTCAAGTGTCAATTCAATATTTGATCCCCACAACAATCACTATTTGTCTTTTAAGCTTAAGCCTCCTCTCCCCCTCTTCCCCTCCCTTCTTCCACAAAAAAAAAAAAAAAAATTAGGTAACACAAAAAAACTAAAACGAGACAAATAAAAAGAAAGCAAGTAGCAGTTTTACATTTCTTTGGAACAATTACTCACACCATGTCTTGAGTCTTGAATCTTGGTCAATGCTTGCATTTATGTGGCAATGGCTAGTAGTCCTGCTGAGGTGGTTTGAATAACTCTCCACACTTTTCCTGGTTCCCAAGCATGATGGATGAAGGAAAAGACCAAAATGCTTATATCTGCCAAAATTATATGCAATACATTAACTCTTTAAGTAATTGTTCGTCAGTTAATCATGGGACTGTCTTGTAGGTTGTTGGATTATATACAAAGTATTCGAGAATCAGATGCATGAGCTTGTGGCGTATGAATTAATGTCTGCAAATGATGCTTCCGAGAGAGATCCAATGGAATGGTATGATTTTTTAGAACATAATCATGGATTTACCTATCTGTCTATAAGCAAGCTAGCAGGTGACTCATTGTTAAGCAGCAGTTGTGGCTTAATTGAGATCTACCTCTTTTGTGAGGCCTGAGCTTTGCAATGCCTTGACCATTGTTTTAAGCTGAAGATACCTTAGTTTCAGTTCTATTGAATTGGAATCAATCTACCATGATCATACAAGACAGTATATTGCTTTAGTGCTGCTTAATTGTGACCAACTGTTTCATAGAATATGCTTGGAACATGGTAAAATGGAGAACTGGGAAGCATGGATGGATATAAGTAAGCAATGCAGGTACAACACGATACAGATGTAGGGACATTGCAAAATCTAAAATAGGATATAGATATGGATGCAAAAATATTAATCAATTGTTATATTTCACATACTATTCTAAAGATGGATGTGTGGTAAAAATAAAAAAGACAAAATTAGGAATAAATATATTTGTGAAACTGTAAAAGTAACACTAATAGGTGATAAGTTAAGAGAGAATCGACTTAGATGGTTTGGACATATTTATAGAAAATCAAGTATTTCACTAATGAGAAAGAGTGATTTGGTACACATGGATGCTAATGCGTGAGGTAGAGATAAGTCAAAATTAACTTTGAACGAAATAGTAAAAAAAAATGATATAATAGCTTCGGTTATCTGAAAATATGGACCTTGGTAGAGCAGGATTCATGCAATTGCAGCCGACCCAAATAGTTGGGATAAAGATTTTGATGAGTTGAGTGAAACAAGAAATAACTAATAGTCATGCAAGCAAATCCATCTGAGATGCAGGTAAATCTATCTCAAAAGGTAGTATATAGTATGAGGCATATCAATTGACAATCATAAATCTTAACTCTGCAAAATGTATATAAATTTCATTATTAAGATACTTGAATCGATAACTAATCTAAACATCAAAATATTGGAAATTTATCAATTTTATATTCCAAAATATTTTTATCTACGTTGATGACCAATTTTGAAAAAGTAAAATAAATCCTATGTTTAGTCATGGCGTATCCCTGCATATTGTAAACATATCAGTCGTATATCATTGTTGTATCCCTAGTGTATCCAAAACTAGAAGTATTTTCAAAATGTTCTAGACATATATGGCTGTATCCGATACGGTTGTGGCCATATTCGAAGGGTAATCGTATTGGATACGTACTTGATATGGATACTCCGGCCTTGGTGAGGTATCCATGCTTCGCAGGTGGAGGAAGATGATGTTTTCGATTGTGAGAGGGGGAGAGAGAGATAAATGATACTGGCTTTGTTAAGTCATCTGTTGGTTCTAACCCCTTCATATTTGGGTGATTCAGTGCTATGTTTACCTTGTTTGCATAACTACAATTGAGCTGTAATCTTATGGATTATGCTTAGTTCATTTTTGTTCAAATATAAATACTTAAGTTATACCCTCTCTAACACTTAAGTTTTTAGAGTAGATAGTTGTTTAACATACTTCAACAGTTTCCATGCTTGGTAGGTGGTGGTTTTTGTTTCAGTTCTTTTTCTTGTTTGATTTTGTTTTGATCACCTAGAATGTGGAAGATTTTTGTATGCTAAACGATTCTTGTTTCAGAAGTTTCAGTACGAGGCGATTGAGATTTCTTATAATCATATTTAGGCTTCTATATATAGGTCCTCTAGGTAAAACAACACCAAAATTAATTATGAATCCTTTGCAAAAGATTGCTCTCTTATCGGTGGCACTCTACTTTTCGTCTATATCCTTTGAGGCCTAATCAATATTGTAAGGTCTATCAGCATCTATTAACTCCAGCCAGACCTTCCATTGACATTATTTTGTCACTTAACGCTTCCTTATTTGGACCCTGTTGCTTTACCACTAATTTTTTTCTTGTTTTTTTATTAGATAAGTGTGTACCCATATGCGCCCTGCAGCCAAATAAATGCTTCTTGTGCTGAAACATAACTTCGCTTGACGATTTACTTTATAGTCTGAATTACATAAAACTTCTCTCCAATTGGGGATATACTCTGAGAGGAAGGAAAAGTAGGGGCATACTTTTATTTATCTTTCTTGTCTCTCATTCTTGACTTGAGGATCGCGTTTGAGCAATTGAGATATTCAAAGATTCAATAGAAATGATAAAACAAATCAAGTTACTAAGAAGCCAACAAAAAAGTGAATGAAAAAGATAGAGTTCAGCTTGTAGAGCTTGGCCTAGAAAAAATTGTAAATATGCGAATACGAGGATTTAGTCTTAAAGAAAATAAATAAAAAACATTGATACGGCCTAAGTGATTGAGTAAACATAGATTTAGTCTTAGAGAAATTTTTCCCAAATTTGTATCTCCTCTATCGAGATCAAAAGTGGTGTGTGTATGTTGGCTGGTAGACTTGTCCTATTACTTGTATTTCTCCTTTTGGGAGGGTCCTAATAAGAACCTCACAATTTTTTCCCAGGGAGGGGGGAGGTGAGGATCGAACCCACATATCTTGCTTGGGAGGACAGGCGTTTTCCACTGGGCTGTCTCTTTACCTCCCTGTTGCTACTATGGCCATGATTCAAAAATAGAAAACTGCAGCTGCTTTGACTGCAACTACTATTAGACCACCAAAAACTCCACAGAAAATGCAATAATGTGACCCAACTGAAGACCCATGAATTGCAAATACGGCCCATTTAGTGGCATACAGAAATCCCATATTTCATTTACTCGTTTTTTTTAAAGCAAACACTGGCCAGCGGCTTTTTAAGCCTAAAATTGACCTTAAATAGGACTAACCTTAAGTTTGTCTGCAGTAAGTTCTAACGCATGCTACATACAAATTGACGCTTGCATGCTCAAACTATGACTAGTTTTAGTCTATAGAAACTATACTACAGTCTAACTGCATATCTAGCAGGAGGCACTTGTTACATCACGTTAGGTTAGCATCTTCATACATATCTTGCAGTTTTAATCTTATCTGAGCATTCTACAGGAGCATTTTTATGGGAACTTAGTGTTTTTCTTAATATATGAGATCATCATTCTTACATCTAGACTAGTAATGAGCTGATTTGAAAACTAACCTTGCTGAAATCTGTTAGGAATTGAGACTAGATGATCCCTTCACAATTATTCTCGTTATTATTTATGCTTTCAGAGCTAATTGGATAGAATTGTTCTCATGCAATGATCATATGTGAATTAGTAAGATATTAGAAAGTTGAAGATACACTAAAGCATGTGGGTACAATTTATAACCATTCTTTTCTATTGACTTTTTTCGATGGGCCGCTTAACACTCTAGTTGTTTGTATTGCCAGTACTGCAGATGCATCAATACTGACGCCAAAATTTGGGATTCTGTGGTGAGGCATCAAGGTTACCAACTCATACCTAACGGAGCCTACTTTTCCTAGTCCTCAACCACCCACCCCAAAAACAAAAACAAAAAAAAAAATCTGATGCGACTCCTGATTTTTGGCATGTGTGCACAGTTGCTTTGTCAAAATTTCTGAAGTAACACTACACTCACTGTAGTTTTGGTTTTGATTTTAAAAAATACTTCTGCCCTGACCGACCATCAAAGATTATGAAGAAAGGGATGATGGGAACAAAATTTTTTCCATAAGCTACTCATTTTGCACTTATACACATTAAACCGGTATAAAATTAATTGTCCAAAGGGTCAAAACTGCCAAAAGGCCGACGCTTAATACTAAAGCAAAGGCCAGGCTATGATATCAGTTCGTCTTTATCTCCTTTTACTCCCGGCACCTCTCATGATTGACAAAGCTTTGCCAACATCCACTCCCCAAATTTTGGCCCTGATCCACCATGCGCGTGTGTTTACTACTAGCGATATACTTGGGGACCCTATATGGGCATACATGTGTTTGGTAGTGTAGATGCAATGGTGGTGCTATGGGTGAGAGGAGAAAATATTCAATGTAACAATGATACCACATTATTACCACGTGGTGTCACCACAAGTGGGCAAAATGAACTCCACTACTCTACTAACTACCAGTAACCACCAGATCATCAACACATTGGATTAATGGGTTCACTTTGCTTATTTGTTATTTTTTCCTGTGGTGTGATAATGTGGTGTTATGTTGCATTGAATATTTATTCAGGTGAGATTCAAATACTTTTCGCAAGTGAGATCTGACCTTGAAGAGGATAAATTAGTTTGGTTGTTAGAGTTGTCCAAGGGGAGGGCAAAGCTTTTTCGATAAAGAATAAATAGAGGGCAATTTGGTAGAAGGATTGTTATCTGTTCACATTGCTAGGGGGATAACAAGGGGTGTCACCGTTATTTTACAAATGAGGATACCCTTGTAATGTTGTTATACCACAAGGGAGTTAGTAATTTCCGTTGCAAAAATAAACTGAAAATATGTTTTTGTTCTTAAGGGTTTGATTGTTTAGTAGGAGAATTGTGCGAAGTGAAAGATTAAAAAAACAAAGAAAGTGGAAAATGCAAGATAATAAAGTTCCTGTATGATCCGTATATGCACATAAACTTTGACTTTGATTTCCTTAAAAAAGTATGCTAAAATTTCCCTTTCCCCCGTGAATGTCGGTGGTGATCTTTTCACTTCCCACTTTTGCCATGGTTTGGCTTGTACTTTCAGATTCTTTTATTAATGACTCCTTCGCGGCACAATATCTCTCTATCAGCATGTTTTGTGGAAAACATGACCACAAGACTGCAAAAAAATGGTGTCCAAAAATCATCTAGAGAACCCCAACAAACAACCTTAAAAAATGCCTAAAAACCACAGCCATCAACTTTGCCACAAGAAAGTCCCCAATCAAGATTGTTGCTGCCGTACATCGCCACTTCAACATCTTCTGAAAACTCACTTTGAATTGGTGCCTCAAAGAGCATTCCCTTAAAGCAACACTAAGAAGTTCTGAAGAGAAGTTGAGGAAGACCTCCAACAAGCTGCATATATCACTCTCAACTATAATATTTCACTTTCTCAACTGATTTCAATGAAGGAAAATATGGTGTTTCAATGAAATAGACAAGACTTCAGTCAATTCTAACCTGGAATCACCTTCAAAAAATTCTAAACAATGGCTGACTGTGATGATGGTTTCTTTTCCCAATGTGAGCTGATGATGTTTAATTCATATTGGAATTAATTTATTTAGTGTTTTAGGCAGGTTTGATACATTTATATGGTGATGATGACTTTCTCTATTGATATACAAAACAGAAAAAACTTTATATTTCCAGTCTATTATTTTGTTCAAAATGAGTCAGGATAACCTAGTAACTGTACAATTTTTTTGTCGTAGTTTCTTTAAAAAACTTCATTCTAACCATGCATGCAAGAAAGTAGGCTTTTTTTTATTCTTTCTAAGCATGTGGACACTAAGTGAAATAAATTTTCCTCTGACCTTATTTTGAACTCGGCAATTGTTGGTTCATGATCTACATTGTATGTATAGGTTTCTTGTTTTATACCTTTGTATTATTGATTATGTTTTTAATTTAACGTTAAGTAACATTTGGTTTTAGGGTGGTTGAAGGAAGTGATGATGGGGGTTCCACCTGGCGTGTTTTGGATAAACAAACTTGTCAGATGTTTACAAAACGTTTCCAGCGGAAAACATTTGAGATCCAATCACAAGGTGTCCTATCAAATGCATTCAGGTAAGTTTGTTAGAATTCATTTGCAATCTGGGTTCAGGCTAATCTTTATTGGAATTGGCCGTTACAAATTGCAGGTTGAGGTTTCTAGCAGTTCGAGATAAGCAGGCAACTTCACGGTTTCAAATAGGGAGCATTGACCTTTTTGCCAGAAGTCAGGGAAATCAGATGATGAACTCTCTGACAAATGAAGCCTATGAGGAAACTGAGGAAGCTATGAGAAAAATGGATGAAGCTTAACAGAGACTGCTCATGCTTGAAAAGAGTCCCAGAACCCTGTATTTTTCAAATTGCTTGGCCCTTCCCGGTGGCTTTGTAGTTTTTTATATTCTATGTTGCTCCCTCATATTCTGTGCTACCCAATAAGAAATTTGAGAAGAACGAAGGAAAATCCATTGGTGCAACACTGTTTAAACTGTATTACATTTTACATTCATAATGGTTCCAGTCTAAAGAAGCATTCCATTAAGTACTCTTTTTCTGCTTCTGATGTTACCTAAAATGGAATGTACATTAAATATGTGTTTACGTACTGGTTTGATTATTATTTTTGTGCAGCTTGGAGTTTAGGCAGGCTATATACTTTACCCTGTCTAGCCCTTTCATCGGAAACTTTCTTGGTGAGGTCATTAGCTATTTTTCAGAAGGTATATGTGTGTTTGGTTTGAGGTGGATTTGCTATATATGCATTGAAACATGTGTTTGGTTTGGCGATAAAATCATAGCATTAAACTAATTTTATGTCCGGTTAAAAAACAAAAAGAAGCTAATTGTATGCGAGGGTTCACTAATCCCGCCTTTGGGTGGTACATTTGGGCTTGGGATAAGTCCAAAAGTGCATCTATGACCGGGTGAACAATGGATATTTACATCTTGTCTTTTATTCGATTAATAGCCAATATACCATGCAAGTGTGGTGAGTTTGTCCATGTTCCCCTGCGTTGGGAATGACACAAAGTTAGGAGCCGATACGTATCTATAATATAAAACAAAGTAGATTTTAATAAATTTATTTGACGGTCTTAAATAAATTAATCGAACGGTCATTAGCATTTCTATCAAAATCTTTTACATTGAATTTTATTTTCTTTTCTCCACTTTTCGCTTTTTCTCTCTTTGAAATTTTCACTCTTCATCTGTCTAATTTAATCGGTTGATTTACGTTACACAGTGTTTTCTGATATGGGTTATCCCTAGAAATGAATATTGATGGTAAATGGTTACAATCTCTAAAGATATAATTTAAAAAAAGGATAAGTAGATTTTCCTTAGTAAATGGCCACAATCTCTAAAGATATAATTTAAAGAAAAAAAAAGATAAGTAGATTTGCCTAATAGGAATTGAATTATAATTAATATGTCATTGAAATTTCATTTTTAGTTAAAAGCTAAACTTGGTAGGTCTTTGCATTAAATTTTGGACTACTATAGTTTGTAACTGTTAGATAAAGATTTAATTGTTCACATAAAAAGTTTCCACAAGAGGTTATGGTGTAAAATTTTTATGATCCCACTATTCTCTCTCTCTCTCTCTCTCTCTCTCTCTATATATATATATATATATATATATATAGTTCTTATATTAGAACTATCTTGCCACATTTTTTAATATATTGTCACATTATTTTTGAATAACTTGTCATATTATTTAATATGTTGTTACATTATTTTTGAGTACCTAGTCACATTAATTTTTATGTTATTACATTATTTTCAAAAAGAATTCGATTCATAAAAAAAAAAAAAAATTAAAAAGAGAAGGCGAAACCAATGCGTTCAATTGAGCAATTTTCGTCGAGTTAGAAGAGAAGACGAAACTTTGAAATTGTGAAGAAAAAGTATGGAATTTGTCTCATTTTGATCCATAATATTTCAATTGTATTATTTTGATCCCTGAAGTATTAAATATGTTTTTATATGGTCCTTCAAGTAAAGCGTCAAGATTGCTAACTATTTTTATCATAAAATTTGTCACGTGATACTTAAATATGGACAAAAATAATTTGGATAATTATTAACCAAATTTTTACTCAAATTTTGATTAAATAACTATCTAAATTACATAGTTTTGATCATGAGCTATTTAAATTTTGGTCAAAAACTATCCATATTACACATTTTTTGGTTAAGAGCTACCCAAATTTTGTTTAAGAGCTATCAAAATTATTTTTTGTGCATATTTAAGTATTACGTGACAAGTTTATGATAAAAAAATTGTTAACAATTTGGATGTTCTCCATAAAAGCGATAAACTTGTGAAGGTCACCCATCCTTCTTCCTTCAATAACCACCCTGTTTCTCTTCCTATAAGGGTATTGCAATACCATAGAAACATTCTATTGGAATTCTCCATAATGTCAATGCTCCCAAAAAAGGCCCTTCGTAATCCACCAATAGCTCATGCCTCTCCTGATATGATAACGGAGGAAAATGCTCTTATCATTGCCGAAGCTTTGAGGCACCAACAGAGTATCAAAACAAACTTAAGCCAAAATCAAATTGGAAGAGCTATCTGAGGACCAGAGTTATAATAGATTTAAAACAACCTTTGGTAACCTTCTTCTATTATAACCAATCTAATGGATGTTTGAGTGACTTTTGCTACAATTGTGGACGTTTGTGTCATGATAGATCATACTGTATGAAATCTCCATCTCAATTAGACTAGATTCAATACGGACCTCACCTCCGGGCGATAGCCAAACAGATTGCGGAGATCCCTACACTAGCCGAAAGCCTAAGCAAAGAAGTGATGTAGATGGCGTGAGAGAAAATGGTACCCCCAACCCATGCGTCAGACAACAGAGAACCTCATGAATCAGGGAACAACTTGGAAACGTTACTGTAGGAGGTAGATGAAATCAGTAACGAACCTCGCACCATTTTTAGGAACACGCGGAAGGCTGGAAGAGGATAGCACGATTGTGGAATGAACACAGGTACAAATGACCCTACTATGTCTATCATATGGGGATCATTACGTTGATTTTCTTGAAACCCCAACAAAATGAAAAATAACTCTTGACCATAAAAGCCTACAACACCAATTTTGACCAGAGATCACTTAGCCAGATGAGAACTCCCCTTGTACCCAAGCCCAATATACAGATACATACTTAACCACAGCTAGGGACCTCATCAACCAATAAACCCATTACCTAATCTTCCATCCAATAAGACAAACCAAACCCAAAACTACAAAATCACGAACCAAATTAACCCCCAAATTTATGACTATAGTGCTTCAATTACAGAGGTAAAAACCAAATCCCCTACTTTGGCTACTATCAAAACCTTACCCCTATTGAGCTTTGAAGCAATAGTAGATAATTGCATGATCCATGTCCAGTTGTTATCCCTCAAATGATGTGTTGCAACTATGTTCTCAGAGAGTAAGGCAAGCAAGGTGAGCAAGAATAGAAGATGGTTGACCTTCAACATCTTTCTGAACCAAAAAAACCTAATGTTAAAGACAAAATTGATTAACATCAAAACTCACCCACTCACCCTACCCATCATCTTCAAAGGAAACCATACATGAAGTTCAAATGTGAGAGAATCATCAAGAAAAAAACGCACATTAGCAAAGCTATCCATAAAGAGACCTAAGTTCATGTTATAGAGGAAACCATCTCAATGGCTGAGGAGGCGGGCTTGACCATGCCCCCTGTAAGATCCTGTACTAAAAATTAAATAAGAATACTAATATCTTAAGAGTTTTCCAAATATGAATAAAATGAGGATAAAAACTTAAAATCATTGTTGAAATATTAATCATGAAGTTTGAGTTTCGAACGGATTGACTTTTGGGTCAAACTTAATTTTTTTTTTGGATGTGTTTAAGATTGATAAGGGTAACTAAATAAATATATTAATTTTTTTATCAAAATAACATTACCATTGAATTCGGGAGGTCGGAAAACATTGGGAGAGGTAATATGGGATGTATTAGAAGTTAGGAAGTATTTTAGAAGTAAAACCAAATTGGAGTGAAATTAAGTAAAAAGGGGTGATAGACACTACTTAGTATTTTGATCATAACTTTATATTTTGATGTCCAATTGATCTGAAATTTTGACATCCAATAGTAGACATCTAGGGCTACAAAATTGTATTTCATGAAAAATTTTCAATTCGACCTCTAAATGGGTCAAAACTGACCTGGAAGTCGCACCAAAAATCTGTGAACAGTACGAAGGAAACCCGATTTTTTCTAAACAGAAAATATCGGGTTTTGCTCGATTTTCTTGCCCTATAAAAACCTAATGTTGTCCCTTTAGCATTCATTTCACCCCTCCAAACCCTAGGAACCATTTTAGAGGAAGAGAGGAAGATAGAAATACCAATCAAGAGGGATTTATACCTTGTAGAAATCAAAACTTCAAATTCTTCAAGAATACATTCTCCTCCCATTTTCTTCCATTCTTGCTACCCTCTCACCCAAATATTTTGAAACCCTAGGAGGAGAAGATTAAGAGGAAAAGAAAGGAGAGCAAGAAGGTCTTGAAGCTTGGGTCTTAGCTTGGAATCTTGATTTAAGGTAGGGGATTTTCTCTCAATCTCTCACATTGAGGCTAGATATATATCTATAGATATATATATGTATATAGATATATGTTTCTTCACTCTCCTTCTCATATATATAATATGAAATACATGATTCTTGTTCTATTTGTAATAAATGCTATGTTTTGAACAATATGAAGGGTGGGTAACCACCAAAGCTCTATTGATTTTTTTTTATCTTCAAAGCCCTAGTTTTCAAGAAAAGGAGATTTTCTCCTAATTTCTTCTTTGTCTTTGATTTTAAAACTTTAGTGTTGAATATTGTATAACAAAATGATATAGATTACGATCTCTTGCATATTTTCTTGGATTATTCGATTATATGACAAATGTGAAAACAAAATTGGGAATTTTACTATATTTGGGAAATTGTTGTGAATTGTGAATATTCTTGATTTCCTCATTGTATGGTTGTTGTGATGGACTTGGATTACCTTCGAGAGATGCCGTAGAGTGTTAGAGGTTAGTCTATCCCAATAGGGGGTGAGATGGTTGCCTAATGCTCGTAGTGGATCGTTGTTGTGCTCGCGATCACTATTGTTCACATATACACCGAGGAAAAGGGTTAGTATACTAGACACCTTGGGAGGATTTCGTCAATGCCGTAGGAGACGGTACACGCCCTTCCTAAAGAGATTTGTGATTGTTGGTTGGAATTGGTGGACTAGGCATGA